CTCAAGAGACATTTTTTTTCCTTTTGGGGTGGTTTTCGATATATTTGGAGCCTGTTTCTACACCCTCTCCTCAGTCTTCTCTGCTCTTGGTAAACTGCCCCAGCTCCCTGGTCTTCCTATGCTGGCTAGTTTTCCCACACTCACACAGTAAGTTTCCAGTTTTGTGAGGCCACTGAAAACCAAGATTCATCCATCTTCACAAGCTGATTGTCAGCATCCAACAGAAGGACCCAAAGTCAGATTGAGAGCAGCCTCACAGAGAAGGACTTGGGGAAAGCAGTGGGCGATGTGCACTCACAGCCTCCCCTTTTAGGAAAGGCTGAAAGAACTGGGAGTTGCTCAGCCTGACAAACTCCAGGGAGAACTCGTTGCAGCTTTTCAATATCTAAAGGAGACTTAAAAGAAAATGGGGACTTTTACCAGACCATGTCATAATTTGACAAGGGGGAATGGCTTCCAACTGACAGAGGGCAGGTTTGACTGGATATTGGAAGAAATTATTAACTATGAGGGTGATGAGGCCCTGACACAGGTTGCCCAGAGAAGCCATGAATTTAATGCCCTATCCATGGAAGTGTTCAAGGCCAGGCTGGATGGGGCTTGGAGCAATCCAGTCTAAGGTGTCCCTGCCTATGGCAAGGGTTTGGAACTATATGATCTTTAAGGTCCTTCCAACCTAAACCATTCTGTGATCCTCAGACTATGATTTGGACTTTAGGAATGCGTCCCTGCTTTCCTAAAGACATACAACTTGCCTGGTAGGAAAGTTCAGTGGGGCAGGGGATCCCCAGCATCTCTGGAAATCACATCACACCATCTTGAGTGCCAAAAACAGGGCTGGGGGAAGCTGAAGTTGGAACATTGGCCCAGTGTGTGGGTGCTTATGTATTGGCATAATAGAGAACACATTTCCAAAACGGAATAAATCATTTTTTTGCCAATAAGTTAATTGTTGAACACTGCCTCTCTTCCAATTATTCATGAACAGATGACAACTTTCTCTAATTATTAGTCTTAATTATTCACTCCATCTCTCCTATTAATAACACGCAGGCAGCAGATTGACAGTAAACAGCTCCATGCAATTATTTTGCTTAGTGAAGTTTGAAACAGAAGCAGTGCCAGGTATTTCTGATGGGGCACAGATTGCATGGCACATCCCTGCCTACCCACCACGTGGCTATGAAATCGTAGAACCGCATTTCTGGTGTGAATGCCCCTATTTGCAAAAGGAACATGTGCCAAAAAGCTGCTGGTTCCCAGGCTCAAAGGCATTTGTCTGAATATCATTGAACAGTGAACACAAAGAAGGATCAAAGAAAATATATTTTACAGAGCTCAATAAATCACCAGCCTCAACTTTTCAGGAAACAGCTTTCTCCAGGTCCACAGTGTATCTGTATATTGGCAATGAGAGAATTTCCCACCTGAAACTAGGAGTGATTTATTGCAAGGGTACATGCAGAGTATCCAGTATTTAATTAGCATGATGTCAATTAGCTACATCACATTGGTTTCCTCCATTCACACCATGATCTAAACATAATAAAGCACCTGAGCTGTATTTGCAACCCTCTGCCTTTCTTTCCTTGTTACCTGGACAAGGATTCTGGACAACACCACATCGTCAGTAAGTTGCTTAAAGCTTAATAGTTTTAAGGGCATTTGAGGTTGTAGCCCTAGATTTTACCTTTAGCAGGAAATAGAAATCTCCTTTATGCACAGAGACCTAAATTTAAAGTCTTAAGGCATGCAAAAATTGACTGCTCCCAAGCATGCACTCATCCCCTGGAAGTGGCAGCTGCAGCATTAACTCAGGACAAAAATCCCTGCAAGAGGAGATGTATTGACTTCTGATGGGGAGAGCTCCTGTCTCGGTTTTAAATTCACTCAAGATGCAGAGTTTATTCAATTATCAGCTGTCTTTAAACTGGAATGTGGCTTCACTCCAAATATCAGCTGGGCAGGGGAGATGACGACAACCAGGTTAACCCTTTTTTTACCTTCCAGCTAGACTGAGGGTGGGCAGCAGGATGGCATTGAGCAATTTGGTATACATCCACCATGCATCTCCAAGGTTAAAGCTTTTGGCTCGGTCCCTCACACCCAGAAAGGGATTTGACACTGGCTATGCCTAGGAGGACAGGTGGGAAAAAAATCCATGTGGTGTGGTACCCAATGGGAGGATGCTCTGCTCACAAGCCCCTTTTTGTAAGGAGACCCCATGCAGTACAAAGGACTCTCTGTCCTCAGGGGAGACCCAGGGCTGTAAAAACAAAGAGAGACACCGGGAAATCGTCTGGTTCATTATTCCCCTCTGAAAACCCCTCCAGCTTTTTAAAGGAAGTCTCTGGCGATGGGGCAGGAGGGGGGGGGCGGGGGCGGTGAGGATTAAGACTGAGATTCATTGGAAGAGGCGAAGGGGAGAGCTGGCAAGATTTAAATCCTCCCCAAATGCCTTGGGAAGCACGGAGGGGCTTGGGCTGGCAGCCGGGCCCACATGCCAGCAGTTGGGGCTCCTGGGAGAGGTCAGAGCTGCAGCAGGATAGAACACTTCGCTCCTCTAGGATGCACCTGAGGGGCTACACTCCCTTACAGGTTACTTTAATGCCACTGGTTTTGTGGGGCTGTAGAGACATAATCACCAGTGGCTCTGGGGAGCAGCAAGAAGCTGGACAGAAAGCAAGCACCAACTGGTACAGTTTTTTGAGTGCTGCTCAAAGTCTATATTCACCTATAAATACAAATTCTGCTGGAGCAGAAGGTTAAACTCTATTTGGGATGTTAAAGCCCAGACCTGCTGGTTTCTGGGAATCCCTTCTGTGTTACACTGTGTGATGGTGAAACAGCAGGCCAGAGGCCTTACAAACTGAACCCTGACTTGAGCCGACAGAAGCTGTGAGAAAGCTGACAGCTCTTTGTGAGAAGAGAGTCCTGCAGCAGTGAAAAACAACTTGTTTTCCTTAAGAAAAACTCTAGGACTGTGGAAAACAGCCTGCTTTCCCTGAGAAAGAACTCTAGGACTGTGAAAAACACTAGCCACCTGTATAAACTGTTTTTACATCGTTAGGTGGGAAAATGAAAACTGTATGTCCCAAACAACTCTCTCTGCACGTACACACAGGGGGATTGAGTGACCGACCAATACAGGGTAACACTTGTTACTGATCAACTGGGGACAGATATGGGATGTTCTTTTAAAACTGTCTATGAAGAGATGTGTGAATAAACCGGGATCTTCTTTTTTTTTTTGCTCCATAAAAAGTGTGTCCTGCATCTTTCTTTAATGAGACTCACAGTAACACATTGTTCTGACTTGAAACTCACAGCACTATCCTTGCCTCTTGCTGCTGGCTGGGATGCTCCTGCAAAGCAAGATTTGCTCTCGAGGGAACCGGGGAGCAGAGCCCTTCCCGGCAGCAGGCAGAGATGGAAGCTGCATCTGTCCTCTGTGAGAAGGACGGTAAATGGCCTCTTGCTTTTGTCATTACCTCGCAGAGACGAGTCTGGGAAGCAGCAGGCTGCTATAGCCGGGCACGGAGCATCTTCACCTGGGCTGAGCTTGCCCTCTGATGGCAAGCGCTGGTAGTGAGAAGCAGCAGCTCTCACAACCTTGTCTTTGCTACTCCAGCTTATCGCCCCGATGCTAAAGCAGCATGCAAGAGTGCTGCTGCCACAAAGGCACCCTCAGCTCCTGGGCTGAGGGCAGCTTCTGCTTGGCTATGACAGCCTAAATTCTGCCCTGTCTTACACAGGGCTGGGGGGAACAGGGGTGGCAGAAGCCAGCCGAGGCAATGCAGGGATGCTACAGCAGCTCAAAGGGGGTAACAAGGCCACAGAAAGTTTTTTATGGACTAGTTTTAAAAAGAAGCAGAAAAACAAAGGAAAATAAACTCCTATGAAGACAAGCTGGGAGAACTGGGAGTGTTCAGTCTGAATAAGACCCCAGAAAGACCCTAGGGTCCTAAAGGGGCTCCAGGAGAACTGAAGAGAAACTTTGGAAAAGAGCCTGGAGTGGCAGGCGGAATGGCTTCACGCTGACAAAGGGCACATTTCATGGGATATTAGGAAGAAATTCTTCCCTATGAGGATGGTGACACACTAGAACAGGTTGCCCAGAGAAGCTGTGGTTGCCCCATCTCTGGAAGCGTTCAAGGCCAGGCTGGATGAGGCTTGGAGGAACCTGGTCTAATGACAGTTGTCCCTGCCTATGGCAGGGGGTTAGAACTAGATAATCTTTAAGGTCCCCTTCAGCCTAAACAATTCTAAAATTCTATGACTTTCTACCAGCCATCTACAGCTTACTACAAACCAACAGCTGACTCTTTTGGTTCTTGCAACACCAACCCTTGTCACCTGCCATCCACCCAGCCTAGCAAAGAGACAGCAGGCAGGGGAAGCAGCCAAGGAGCTGAGGGCTGCCCCATGCAGGGGACAAGCCAGGAGCCCAGGGTAACCCCAGCACAGCAGGGCACTCATCAAAAAGGGTCCAGCCTGAGCACAGCAGGGAGGGCTGGATTCTGGTAACAGGGTCCACCGGCTCTCAGACACAGCAGAAGAATCAGGTCCTAGGCCGACCCAGAAGCAGCAGCAGATGAGGCAGGACTGGAAACCAGCTACCAACAGCAGAGGCACCAGGTCCCACCCATTGAGAGGGTTAGGCATCATCACCCTACAGCCTAAGGAAGACAGAAGTCCTGGTATTACCTTAAATACAGTGCCTGGGCCAGCTGCCAGAGGATGTGTGCATAGAGGTCCCAGATGAGGCTGCTCAAGGCAAGCAAACTTGTGCCCACAAGGTCCTGACACCTGGCATGATGCTGCCTCTCCTGTATTTCTCTGCTGGAAAAGAGAAGCCGTGGTTGCCCCAAGCCTGGGAGTGTTCAAGGCTGGATGGAACTGGGAGCAACCTGGTCTAGTGAAAGGTGTCCCTGCCCATGGAAAGGGGGACTGGGTGATCATTAAAGTCCCTTCCAACACAAACCATTCTGTGGTTCTATGAATTTTGCTTTCTATAATAATAAAGGAGGGAGCTTTCAGAGATAGCAGCCCATGCTCATGTTCAAAGAATCAAATGCAATCCACTAAATAGACTTGTTTCATACCGTAAGGGTACATAACTATGTCAATGCCATCATATTTTGTGGGAGAGAAATCAACCTAGACAGAGATAGATACTAAATCATCTGTATGAAAATGATTATTACAGTTAGACAATAAGATAATTAGGTTGTGGTTGTATTTAGACATGCTGTATTAGCTGAGTGGGAGTGACAAGAGGGCTGAGTTTGGTCAGGTTTGGGGGAGCAGGTAAGGAACAGGTGAGCCTTGCTGCTGCACTGCATGAGAACCAGAGAGCTTGGCAGAGCTTCAGCATCCCAAGACAGACGTGGGGTTGCAAAAATCGAGTCTGGGTCAAGCCTGTGTGTGTGAGAAACCATCTCTATCCATGCTTATACTGAGCAGAGGGTTTAGTTAATATTTGCCTAGAAAACCATCTCCTAATACGAGGTCAAACACCCTTGGAGCAAAAGAACGTGACATGAGGGAACCTTCACTCTACTCCCAGACACATCCATTACAGTGTGGTGTCTCATAATAAGATGATATCATCATTTTTTCCTGTGTAAAGGGAATTCCATAATTTGGAGCAGTGTATCAGATATTTCTGCTGCTGTAGGCCAGGCTCCTCTGTAGCTTTGCTTCAGTGCACCCACATTAAAACAGCAGTTCCATGGACATTTCTCTTCAGGTCTCTGTAGAGCCTAGAAACTATGAAGACAGTATTTCAGTATTACAGGAAAATCACCAAATTATTTTAAACTCATTGTAGTTCAATCAAGTGAAAATTTCTCCTCAGAAGACTAGAATGATGTAATTGATTGCAGTAAAAAGATACACTTCTACCATATACCTCTTGCTTTTTTTTTTTTTTTTTCTTTAAAAGAGCTGACCTTTTTAAACACAGAAAGAAATTTAAATATTTTATTTTTGCTGATTCTTGGTTTCTGAAAGGGATTAAACAATTTTTGGTTAAAATCCCTATATCAACTTGGAGCTAGCCTAAGGCTGAGGCATCAAATTTCATCTTGCAAGTAGCAAAGGTGTTGTTATAAAGCATTGAGAAAAAAATCTTTATTTTAAGAACTTGGTATAATCTTAAATAGAGCAGATGTCTCTAAGCATCCTCCCTCCTAGCACTACTTGCTTTTGCACTATTAAACCAGAAAAGAAATGTAAAAAAAACCCAACCAGCTCAGTCCCCCACAGTTCCTGCTCTTCTCATATCCCAAGCAGCCTGAGTTAACCTAAATTGTATGTTTTAACAACAAAATAATCTTTCAGAGTCAAGTTTCAGGTGGTGACCAGACACATACCTGAGTTTCTATATGACCAATTAGTTCCTATCCCTGTATCAAAGCACGTCGCTAAGTGCAACATGCCCCCTCCTCAAGGATCTTCTCTGTGGAGGAGATGTCTGCCGTGGGCAGGGAGCACTGAGCTGTGTTCCTCCATCCCCTCCAGATCCCCACGTCTCTGTGCCTGACTGCAGGAATTGAAATTCAGAAATGCGTCCTGGTTTCTCCCAGTAAACTGGGGAAGGAGGCACCTGATGGGTAGGAACTAGGTCTCCTGAATGGCTTTGCTGCAGGTTCACTCCAGAAGTTGCTGACAGCCTAATTTTCAGATTTATGAAGCATTAAGAATTCCCATTGACTCTGTAACCAGGTGATGAATCTGTCTACGCTTCATTTTTCTCAGCTATAAAATGGAAGAAATGGCATTTCTATCACTGACTAGCTGAGAGGTTAATGCAATGATTATTAATAAAGTTCCCTAATAACCTCAGGAGCAGCAATTCCCAAGCCAGGGTGGCAGTTCTTAGCAGGGTTTGCTGAGCTCCTGAATGGACTAACGGACCCAGTAGAAATTAGGTGGCAGCAGCAGGCTCAGAAACGGAAGTAGAAGCAATTTTCCTAATGAGTCATCAACAACCCAGAGCCTGGAGCCTGGGAGGTGACTGTCACTTCCCTCAGACACGCAAGCCCATGGATCACTGTGTGGAAGAAGTCTCAGTCTCCCTGCAAGATAACCTATGCAGAGTATCCTTAATGATTCCGTGGCTGTGCTGCCACTGGACTCCATGGCTGCAGCTGTTTGTTGCACGAGTAAATGGAGCTGCAGCTGCAAATGGCACAGACTCGAGTGTTAAGTAGGGTTTATGTACCCAAAAGAGCAGAACCTTACACTGCTACTAAAGTTCATTCATCTATAGACAGTACTTGGATTCTCTTTCCTTTAATGCCATGGGTAGTGTGTCTTCTCTCTTTGTACAGGATGAGAACCGATACTTTGCTGGGATGTTGTCAGCGACTGGCTTTAGAGGCTAAAAACACAGATAAGTTAGAGCAGATTCCTCCAGTCAGTCTTACAAAATGTACATCTGTCAGAAATACCGATTTCTTTGTGTAAAATAACCACTAAGGAGTACAGCTGGAGACAGCTTATCCCAAAGAAACAGATTTGTTTGCAGCCTAAGTTTCAGGCCAGTCGGGAATAGGTGATGTTTGCTTTCTGTACTTGATCCACACAATTCTGAAAGTAGGCAGACATATCTCCACTAAGACTAAGTGAGGAAATAGAGGCAATCCTCTGAAGCAGGACCTATGACTGTGTGTGCGCTACATGAGGGCGCAGGTGTCCCCACACCAAGACTTTCCCCTCTGTCCTGAGCCCATCATGAGCTGTGCTCCAGTGCAGGGTTCTGGCCTGCAAGCAGTGCAAAGGCACACTGCTGGCTGGAGGAGACACAGAAACCTCTCAGCTGATCTATCCTCTTTCACTCTTGTACCCTCGCCACTGACAGTAATCACAGTGTTGTTGATACCTGGACTAAATCAAACCAATTCTTAGAGCTCACCTTGTGCTAACAGGAACTAGAAGATAACTGACAAATCACTGTTCCAGCCGCAGTGCACTGGAGCTGGAAAGTCTTTTTTCCATGTCCTTTTTCCTGACACAACATATAGGTATCTCCAGTAAGCAGCACCCAACCTTTCCTTCAGCTGCATACATGGATTGTGAACTGGTAATGCAAGGTAACCCCAGGAAATAAGTGTCTCCAGAGCCAAAGGCTGCTCCCAATGCACCTGGGCAGTGAAAAGAAGGTATTCACTCAGAGGGTCTCCAAGAGCTCATAATAGTATCCTAAAGCTCAGGAACCAGGGAGATCTTCCCTAGGTATTGAAGTGCTGGGAGTCACACTCATTGCCAGGGCTGTGGGTGTAGGGGATGTTGTGAAGGCCAGTTATGTATAGGCATAAGTGCTCACATATTTGATCTCTAACAGCTTTTGCCTGTGTCATCTTTTTCTCTCTGGAGCAGTCAGTAATGGCATCAGCAAGACTTTTCAAGGATCAGTCAGTATTTCAGTGTGAAGCACGGGATTGTGCTATTGCCAATACTACTGCTTACTACTTCTGAAAGTCCATTGTAGGCACTCATCTATAAAGTTTTTGATCCTTCTGGAAGAGAAGGAAATGAGACTTCCCTTTCTCTTAGCAATAGAAAATAAGATGCACACACAGACACTAACAGCCAGGCTGAAAGAAAGGTCTAAATAACAGCAATTCTCTTTTGCTTCCACTGAAAACAAAGGGAATCACTACACTTCAATGACTTTATGGAGCTAGTCTTGAGATCTGCGAGTCAGAAAACTATTTACAGAAAGCAGGGGAACCCAATGGCTTAAAAAAACCACAAACCCAAAAGAAAATACCAAAAAGAGCCCCCAAAGCTATATTAAAAAATGTTTTTAATAACAGCAACAAAGAGTTAAATCATAGGAGTGACTCTAATAGCAGATGTCGCCTTGTAAAGGTGAGACTGCTGACCTGGACCTCTCAGGGACTCTAACTTTGAATTTCCGGGCTTGAATTGAATTCCTCAGAGACATTTTGGGTTTTGCTGACTGCCTTGGTGATTTTTCCCAACATCAGGGGTAAACATACAGAGGCAAATACCCAATGGTATTCCAGCACCTCTGAGAGGGGAGGTCAGGAGGAGCACTCCGCAGCTCTACCCCTCCAGCTGCATCTGCAGGGTAAATCCAGAGCTGTGTTTTGCCTTTCTGCCTTTGGGACATTTGTCATCCTGCATCCCTGCCAGCCTGGGAGGTCTCCTGACCAATACTGCCTACCTGAAGCACCTTTTTCTCTCTCTCAGACCAGTTTTACCAGCTCCCATACTGGTTTTACGGCTCACTCTGCTGTCCCTGCTGGGAGGAGTGCTGCAGCTGATCTTTTTGGGCGTTTTCCCATACCTGGGTTTAGGATTACCCTCCTCAGGGAATGCCCTAGTGTTTCACCAGCTGCCTCCTCCACTCCAGACAAGTAAAGCTGACTGTGGACAATACAGTTGCTCAATGCAAAGGAGGCAATATGTTTCCAAAGGCTGTTGAAAGAGAAATTAAAGGGAACAGCAGCTATCTCCCCACAGGACTTCTGGCTGAACCAAGGAGTTGACAAGTGCTGTGTTTCATGAACTTTTCAGTTTGGCTTGCAAAAGGCTGGATCTGGGGACAACATTTCTCATAACACCCAAAACATCTTTGGGGCATCCTTTATCAACACTTTACTAATTAACTTGTGCAGAAACTGGTCTGCCTTTGCTGTATAAAACTCAGGCCTGCTGTTGGGAAACAGGAACCCAACAGGCTGTGGTCCTCACCATTGGGATTCCCACCCACCCAGGCAGAAGAAAGCTGCCTCAAACCTGGGAAAAGCTGTTCACTCATCACCAGACATCTGTCACAGAATCACAGAAACATCTAGTCCAATCTGTGACTGATCACCACCTTGTCACCCAGACTAGAGCACTGAGTGCCATTCCAATCATTTTATGAACAGCTCCAGAGATGGGAACTTCACTACCTCCCTGTTCTAATGCTTAACAACCTCTTTCATTAAGAAATTCTTCCTGATGTTCAACCTGAACCTCCTCTGACCAGGTTGAGGCCATTTTCCTCTTCTCCTGTCACTTGTTACCTGACAGCGGAGCTTGATCCCCACCTGGCTACACCCTCCTGTCTGGGAGTTTAATAAAGTCTCCTCTGAGCCTCCTTTTCTTCAGCATGAGCCCCCAGAGCTGCTCCTCAGAGGACTTGCTCTCCAGCCCCTTTCCCAGCCCTGCTGCCGTTCTCTGGAGCCACTCCAGACCCTCAAAGTCTTTCTTGAAGCGAGAGGCCCAGAACTGGACATAGCAGTTGAGGTGAGGTTGTGCTGAGCACCCTCAGGTCCTCCTCCACTTGGCCACTCCTCTCCAGTCTGTTACACTGCCTGGGATTCTTGTCACCCAAGTGCAGATTGGGCACCTGTTGAACCTCACACAATTGGCCTTGGTCCATGGATCCATTTCTTTGTGTGGGGCTGGATGGCATGGGATAAAGCTCAGCATGCTTAGAGCTGCCCTTTGGGGTAAGGTGAAGAACATCCTGTGAGAGACAGATCAGCCCTGCCCTTCACAGGATCTCTTTGTGGTGCTGAGGGCCCAGGGAGGGTCTCTGAGTGACAGCCTGGCACATTTCCCTCTGAGGCCTGGCTGCCTTCGCCTCATGCAGGGACATCACAGAATCACAGACTCAATTAGGCTGGAAAAGACCCGTGAGGTCATCGAGCCCAAGCTATCAGCCAACACCAGCTTGTCAACCACACCATGGCACCATGTGCAGTCTTTCCTTAAACACCTCCAAGGGCACTGACTCCACCGTCTCCCCGGGCAGCCCATTCCAATGAATAATCACCATTTAGTGTGAAAGAATTCCTCACTATGTCCAGCCTGAACCTCCTTCGGCACAGCTCAGACTATTTCCAACCCATCGCTGCTTGCCTAGGAGTAGATTCCCACCCGCACCTGGCCACAACCTCTTGTCAGGCGGTCACAGGGAGTGAGAAGGTTCCCCTCAACCTCCTTTCCTCCAAGCTGAGCCCCCCCAGCCGCTCCTCAACAGGCTTGTACCTCAGGATTGTGCACCACTAGATGTGGTGTCAGGGGGAGCAACTTCAGGCGCAGCTGGAAGCTCCTGACCCACACTCCGAGCCCGCAACTGCGGGAGGAAAGCCCCACCAGCCCCACAAGCCTCAACCCCATCGGCCCCGGCTCCGCCGCTCCGTGAGGGCAGCGCGGCCGGCCCCGCCCCGCCCCGCCCCTCAGGGGCGCGGCCCCGCCCCGCGCACGCGCGGCCGCGCTGTCCGCCTGTCAATAAAGCTTGAACAAGCGCCGCGCCGGGGCCGCCGTTTTGGCTTTTTGATTTTTTTTTTTAATTGTGGAATTTTTTCATTTTTCTTTTCTTTTTTTTTTTTTTCTTCCTCCCCTTTTTGTTTCTCTGAAGGAACTTTATTTCCCCCCCCGCGCGCACGGGGATGCGCTGAGGCCGCTCCGCCCGGCCCGGCCCGGCCTCGGCATGTCGGGCAGCCGCCCGCCGCACCCCGCCGTGCCTCCCGCCGCCACACCGGCCTCCTCTTCTTCCTCTTCCTCCTCCTCCTCATCCTCTTCATCCTCCTCCTCCTCCTCCTCGGCGGCCATGGCCCCCGGCTCGTCCTTCTCGGGCGGCGCGGCGGCGCGGCCCGTGCTGGTGGCGGCCGCCGTGTCGGGGTCGGGCGCGGGGCTGGCGCGGCTGGCGGCGGGGCCGGCGCGGCCCGGCGGCTCCTCCGCGGCGCCGGGGGCCGGCGGCAGGAAGAGGCCGCTGCTCACCCCGCTCTGCAACGGGCTCATTAACTCCTACGAGGACAAGAGCAACGACTTCGTGTGGTGAGCGCGATATGTCGCGATATGTCACCGGGGGAAGGCCGGGCGCCGCCATGCCGTCGGGAAGCCTGGGGAGTGTGGAATAGCGGCGGGAGGAGGGAGCAGCCGGCAGCCCCTCCTGGCTCTGGGACGGCTGCTGCCCGCCGGGGGTTGTGGCTCGGGGGTTTTCCCTCTTTTGTGCCTCTATCAGAAATAGTGTGGCCGGCAGGAGTAGGGAACTGATTGTCCCTCTGTGCTGGGCTCTGGTGAGGCCGCACCTCCAGTCCCGTGTCCAGTTCTGGGCCTCTCCGTTCAGGAAGGACGTGGAGCTGTTAGAGCGGGTCCAGAAAAGGGCTGCGGAGCTGGGGGAGGGCTGGAGCACCTGGACTAGTTGGGAGGGGAGATGGGTAGCCTAGAGAGGAGAAGTGACTCGGGGGGGACTTTATCACTTTCTACAACTCTGTGACAGGATGTTGCAGCCAGGTGGGGATCAGATTCTCCTCTCTGATAGCTAGCAACAGGACAAGTGGACACAGCCTTAAGCTGTGCTAGGTTGGATGTTAGCAAGAATTTCTTCCTAGAAGGGTTGATTATATATTGAAATGGGCCGCCCAGGGAGGTGGTGGAGTCACCATCCCTGGAGCTATTCAGAGAACAACTGGACATAGCACTCAGCTAGTTGACACCACTAGTTGGCATGGTGGTGTGGGGTCCTAGGTTGAACATGATGATCTCAGAGGTCTTTTCCAGCCTAACTGATTTTGTCTGGTTTTGGCCCTATGTAGCGGCATTGCCTCCACCCTCTCTATTTTTAAGCAAAATCAGGTTATTCCTGGCAGGTTCCTCCTTGAGTGCACCCAAGTTGTTGGAAAGGCCCTGCAGCACGAGATGTTTCCTCACAACGTTCTGACAACACAGCAACTGCCTTGTTTTCCTGGACAATGTGACCTCGAGTGGTCTGGAGCCCTCTCATCTTTGGAAGAGGATTCATCAAAGGATTAAGTGCCCCTCTGGAAGGGACTCCAAGGACCCTCATAATGGTTGATAGCTCCAGCAAAGCTGGCTTGGTTTGCCCATGTTGCTGGGAAAGGTTGTCTAGTTTGAAACTGCAACAAGTTTTGTATCAGGCAGGCACCTACAACCAGATTAATAGGGAATTTCTTCTGTGATGGTCTAAACATTTTACTGATGTTGTTTTCTAGCATCCAGCCATCCAACTGTAGCTCATAACTAGGAATCACCTTTCAATGTAATTGGCAAACTGAGGCCCATGGTTTGAGAACTGTTGGTAATTTGAACCTGTTGCTGGCAGGTTTCAAATGTCCCAACACAAGAAGTAGGTTTGATTTTTGTAGCTGAATGTGCTAAAATGTGAGAACAGGAAGTAAGGTTAGGTGTTTGCATCTGAGAAAGGCAAACAGGGAAGAGGTAGTGGGAAAAAGATCAAGCTGTAGCAGTCATGGAAAGGAGATAGTAAAAAAAAAGTGTTAATAAGTGAGCCAGAGCTTCCAAGATGATTTTGACAGCTGTAATGTAAGCTCTGACTTACAGGTGAGGATTGGATGTGAGGCATTTCCCAGAGGACAGATATTGTCTCAAAACCCTATAGGCTTAACTTTACAGCTTGTAAAGTGTTTAGCAGAGTAGATAGGAAATACCTTTGCTACTGAAGTGAAAACCTGAAGCTAATAAGTTAGTTGCAGGAAAAACAGTAAGTAATTCTTGTTAGGAATTAGTAATAGTCAAAAATTACTGCTTTTACTGTGGTTAGTAGTTTCCTCAGTAGCAGAATGGGGATAAAAGGACTGCTGTCATCAGCTGATGCCCTGCTCTGGTTCTAGGCCATGTTAGGTGGATTTAAGAGCTCTTGGTGGGCGCTTGGTTGCTCCCAGGTTTTCTGGTCATGGGGTATGAACGCAGGTACAAGTGCCCATTCTCCTCTGTTCCCTCTACTCTTACACTCTGGCAGTAGAGTTCTGCCAGCATGGCTCCCTGCCCTTTCCAGTCAGCTCTTATGTCCTATTTTGTTGTCTGTTGTAGAAATGAGGGGTTTGGAAAGGAAATTACACCCATAACAAATGTGTAGACTTGATGTATTTTTAGATGGTTCAGAAAGCTGAGGTTCGTGCTTTTTTTCTGCAGGTAAGTACTGTGCATGCTTCAAGGAGAACGTGTAATTAGCTGTTTTCTCCTCATTGAGAAGCACTACTGACTGAACAAGTGAGAGGAAAGAAATCAGCCCAGTAGCACTCAGGGCAAAGTGTCATTTCTTAGTGTTTACAAGAGCCACATTGAACATACTGAAGTGCAGGTCAGAAGCTTTATGAGCAGACAATGGTTATGGTTAACTTGGGTTTTTCACTGCTCTATATTTCTGTGGGCTAAAGGGCTTGTTCTTACTTATTGTTGTTTTAGCTTCAAATAGCAGTATCTGTCTTTTTTAAAATTTGATTTAGCAATACAGTTATGTAGAAATAAACCAAACTGGGCAGCTCTGAAGTTTTGAGCAATGTCCAAGAAGGCAGGTGTGTGTTAGTTTAAATAATTTATTTAAACAAGCTTTTCATATCTCAGTGTGAGAAACAGAAGTTTCCCCTATGCCTTTTTGCCTCTGTAAGGATAATTCAAGATGCTGCCAGATGCAGAGGAGCACTTGCTAATTTTTCTGAACATGAGCTGTAAGTTGCTGTTAGCCACAGCTGTAAATTCAATGGTAGATTATGCCTGCACCAGGTGGAAGGTGGGAAAGAGTAAAGAAGTTTGGGTGAGTTTTGAACATCAAGGTGTAAGTGCAAATTCCCTCAGCAATATTAACATGTGTGACCTCCCCTGCCTGTCTTCTGAAAGCACTGTCTCAAGTGAGGCAGAGGCTCTAGGGTAAATGTTGACTTGTGTTGTTGGTTTGGGTTGTGAAATGTTTAGCTCAGGAGTTAGCAAGTGTGTTCTGTTTGAGGTGTATGTCACCTTCTGTCTGAAAATGTGTGACTCCAGTCAGGGCTGCAGATAGGTCTGACTTGGTGGACAACTTTATTATGAAAGGGAAAACTTTGTTTCTCTTAGTGCACGCTGCAGAATATAAAGGTATTTCTGTGCTGCTTTTGTAGCCGGGTGTCTTTCCACTTGCCTGGAGAGTGTCTCAAAGTGACTTCTCTAATCAGATGATTTTCTGCTCCCCAGCAATGTAATTACTTAGTTTTCCCAGGCCTTGTACTAGCCCTCCCGACTAGTGGTTGACTAAACCTCTTTAAAACCAGTTACTATGTGCTTGGCTCCCTGGATCAGGTGGATCTTACTTGTCTCTTCAGTTCTGCTTCACGCCAGTCCTTGTTTCTGAGCTGTGGCACAGATCATGTATGGAAGAGGGGCTCTTGCATGCTGATCTGGAGATCAGCACCCAATACCACAGCTCAGCTGTGAGAAGGGCTGTATGCCACCTGGACTTGCAGGTTCATGGGTTTTTAAAAACAGTTCTTTCCTCAGCTGGTTACCTGTTAATCCAGGCATGGGCTGAGTGTAGTTGTTCCCATTTTTGTGGTCTGGAAAGCAATTTTAGTAAGGAATATTGTAAATTTGCCCTGAAGTCACAAACTAAAAACACAGCAAGCTGTTTGCATACCATGTTCAAGGAGTCTTACTACCTGTTGTTATATTAGAGCTTCATAGTGAGTAGATAGTAACAGCAGTGATCTTTAAGCTGGCCACCTTCTGTAGGAAGGACAGAGCCTGCAGCAAGTCCTGGTCTCTGATTAGACCAGAGATGAGCTGAATAGGAGGCAGGCACTATAAATAATCTTGTTTGCTGTTGAAGTGTGTTTAAATATCATAGTGACCACTTCAGCCGGGTGTTTGTGTAGCACTCTTGAAAGGTGCCTGGAAAACAACTGGTAAAACTTAGAGCCATGAACTTGATTAAAGTAGATGTTTAAAATGTTTGAGGTCTGCCCTGCAGAGAAAGAATGGTAAACCTTTGCAGTGCTGGATTAAAAAATAGTGTTTATTAGATACTGATGTCTTGTTTCCCAGACATCAGTGACATTTTTGACTTCCTGAAGTTATTTGCATCCTTTTAATCTGACTCTGCTGCTTAAGACAAGTAGAGAATAAGCAACTTCATGCACAGAAGCCTTGATTTCATCATACTTCTGCTTCCCTGTTTCAGTGTACATTACAAACTGCAATATGATGCAAGTCCCCATCACTCCACTTCTTTCTTAACTTTCCCTTGGTGTTAGATTCACTTCAAACAACTGTTGTGTAGTAACTTTCACGTGTTGCAGTCATCTTGGCTTCAGTGTGTATTAAAATATATCAATCTTGTTTCCATTTGTAAATCAGGGA